ATGATATTGTAATATTGAGGAGGGGGGGTACATTTTCCCTTCCTGGTACACTCATACTAGTCGATTGCTACGCTCATGCCAAAGTCAGCCTGCATTGCAGTGTGTCCTGTTGGTAAGGTGAAGGAGAAGCATGGTGAAAGTGGGATGGGGTGGCTGCCTGAAGAAATCTTGGGTGGCTTTTTCTACCCACTGTCTGTTGGAGGCCTTGCCAGCCTTCCCTAAATACTCATAGAACTCTGTTTTCTCCTGCCCTTCCTCTTGCCTGCAGGTTATAGCTGTGCTGTCAGGATAATAAATCAGTTGCTTGCAGATAGGATTGTACCCGGGCCAGTTTTTAACCAGCACATCTGGCTTTTGCTGTTATGAGCTGGTGTTGCTTTAAAATGTAAGCCATCAGTTATAGTATTGGGATTTTTGATTTGCATTGGCTTTGTGTGACAATTTAGGAACCAGCCAGAACCTTTGCCTGTTCACTAGCCCTGTTCGAATGGAACAAACCTCCCATTCCTATCGTCTTCTCCTGCCCACTATCCATCTACATTCCAGCCTCACGTTTTACAGAACAATTAGAGTGCTGCAATTTTTACATGTTCTGAGGGTTCGATGTTGCCCAGTGTGAGAGACCTGCTGTTAGCAAACTGAGATCTGTGCATGCACAGAGGAAGTGGGTTGTGAGTACTTTGGAAGTCTTTATTGCCTGCTTCTTGGGCTAGTTACCCTTCCCTAGTCTTAGCTTAGCAGCAGGGCCGGCTCCAACGTTTTTGCCGCCCCAAGCGGCGGGGGAAAAAAAAAGCCGCAATCGACGGCACTTCGGTGGCAGCTCTACCGCCGCCACTTCATTCTTCGGCGGCAGGTCCTTCCCTCCGAGAGGGACTGAGGGATCCGTCGCCGAAAAGCCAGACGTGCTGCCCCTTTCCATTGGCTGCCCCAAGCACCTGCTTGCTGCGCTGGTGCCTGGAGCTGGCCCTGCTTGGCAGTTAGGGAGGTAGTTAAACTTGCTAAACTATCTTGGGAGGGATAGATAAGTAAGTGCAGAGTTCCACTTTTCCTGATCAAAGAAATATAGAAATTCGAGAGAAGGGAAAGAGAGCCCATGGTCCCCCATTTCTCTGTTGCAGGACTGTTCGCTCCAGGGCTATGTCCAGTGTAGTTCTAAATCCATTCTAGCTATGGTGTTTCCATGACTTCCTTTGGGAGACTGTATTCCATTAGTCAGGTTCATTGCTGTGCTTCGTGGTGTGGGGAATGTGTTTTTAAAGTCCTGTGATTGCTTTCCTGTCTGTCATTGACCTCTTGTCTTGCATGTTTCTATCACCACCTAACCATATTACCCTTCATGTATTGTTTGTTGCTTACTCATCATACAAACTGCTTGTTTTTTGGCTGCTGCCTGATTTGGATAGCATGAATTCAGAGGTTTATAGTGGGGGCCTCACCTATATGGCTGTGAAGTCTGGCCAAACTCAGAAATATGTTTTGTAGGAATTTTTTACATTTCAATTTTTTTCATTCTGATTCAGAACAGAAACAAACATTTTCTATGTTTCTTATAAAACAGAATTTCCAAAATTTTGATTATTTTGAAATTTGTTTTTGAAATTCCAAAATTTTAGTTTGAAATTTTATTTAAAAAAAAATTAAATTATGTTAGTAGAAGTCATGCATAATATACATGACTTCTACTGCAATGTTAAGAAATAATGTGAAAATAGTAAAAACAATATAAAAATGAAAAAAATGATTTCTGAAACTACATTTCTGAATTGTGAAATGAAGATTTAGAATTCTTCAAAACAATTTTTTGGATTTTTCCCAGTGTTCATTTAAAAATCATTTTCATAGTGGATTTCTTATTGAAATACTCATTTTTAATAATGTTTTGATTTGGCATTTTTGGTCTGTTTCAAGGAAAAATTTCTGTCCAGCATTACTAGAAAAATAATTAAGGACCAGTATAATCCCACTTCCCCCAGGTGTGATTGCAACAGCTTCTCTAATACTGGAGACACACGCATAAACTTCTTACACAACCTGGTCTATTGCTGCTTTTTACATAATGTCTTTTTTCTTTTCATGTTCCTACTGAAATGCTGCTGTGACATATTCAAAGTTCCCAATCAGAATGTGCTTCTGAACAGAAGAAAGAAAAGCACACACCTTTTTTCTTGGGGTTCAGTTTCCATATGCCATTACCTGCTATTCTTTTCCTTTCTGCGGAGTCCCAAAACCTATTTATTTTTTCATGTTACTCTAGGTACAAAGCATCGAATCAGCTATTGTGTGATCACTGGTAAACAAATAGACTTATGCTAAAATGCCGAAGTCCTTATGTTAAATCCAAATCCCAACTTGTTAAATAGCCTGAAAACAGAAAATTGGTGAATTTAAATTTCAGTAATACAAGATCTAATTGTGACAGTAGAGAAACTGTTTTATAATGTACTCTTGAAAATGATTAACGGCTATAAATATAGAACATTCTTATTGGCCCTGGATGAATTCAGTGTTTATGAAATGGAGAAGCGGTAACTCTGGGCAGGTTTTGTGCAGCTCGGACAATGGCTCTTCTAAGGCACTTCAGCTGAAAATACCATTTTAATTCAGTTGCGTACATCAATTAAAAAACTTTGACTTGATTGTGGTCAATTTAATCAATACGGCTACATCAAAGAGAGATGTTTATTTTGATTCAAAGTGTGAGTTCTGAAATAATTACAAGGGAATGAGATCAGTCACCTTCAGGCTACTTTCCTTCGCACAGTATCAGTGGTGAACGTCCCTGGCAAGGCAGGAACTGGAAGTCTTGTGAGCTCTAGTTACTAACAACTTCCTATTAAATATGAAATTGGGGTATTTCCTGCCTCTCTCGGCTGCTCTTCAATCTTAATGTTGGCAAGCAGAATAGAAGAGGGGCTGAGTCCATGTGTTTTAGCACAGAGTGCTGTGTAGAACTGATCATTTCTACAGAATGTAGGTAGAGCCTTTGTCCATATGACTCAGTTTCTTACATAGGCTTGGGGCTGACATCACTGTGGAAAGATTAGTGTGCAACTGTGGTCAAAAGAATCAAACAAAAGATTAGTATGCATATGGAATGGGACGGTGAAAAATACAGAGAACTGTCATTGTATAAATCATAGCTTGCACTATCTGGAATATTGTGCTCAGGCCTGGCCACACCTCCTCAAAAAGGCTATGGCAGAATTAGAGAAATTCAGAGACAGACAATGAGAATGATTAGCCACCTGGAAAAATGTATGTGAAAAGAGATTGAAAATACTGGGATTTTTTACCTTGGAAAAGAGACAATTAAGAGGGTGACATGATAAAATGTATATAAAATAATGAATGGTGCAGAGAAGGAAAGCAGAAAATTCAAAAGTGATAAAAGGAAATGCATTTCCACACAATGCACAATTAGACCGTGGATCTCATAGCCTCAATAACATCCTGTGACAAAGCCAAGAGCTCAGCAAGATTTAAAGAGGAGTTGGACTTTTCTATGAATTAAAATACCTGGAGTCACAATAGTTCATGCTAGAAGAGTTTGGAAAGGATCTAAAACATCATGCTGTAGGGTTTAAACCTATTTCTATCTATGAAGAATTAGGATGCAACTTTCATGAGGGGCAGGTGATCCTATATCTGCCTATTGCAGGGTTTCTTGCACCTTCCTTTGAAACATCTGGTACCTCTACAGTGGGAGACAGAACGCTGGACTAGATGGACACCACATATCTGTTCCAGTCTGGGAATTCCTGTTGTTGTTTTTTATAAGAATATAAAGTGTACTGTGTTGTGTGTGGCTTTCCCCTCCCCTGTGTTCTATACAACTTTGGGAAGTCTCTGTACTCTACCACCAAATCATATGTGCTCCTGAGTTTTGGAGGAGATGGTTTGGTGGGTTAAGCATTAAGTTTGGAACAGCTAGACTCTGGAATCACAGGCTTAAATCCTGGCATGATCTATTCAGGCCTCTTAAACTTCTGAAGTGGGTAATGAGCATTCCACGAAGTTTCCTGTGTTGTGGTTCCTTCAGAAAAGACCTTAAACCACCAGAGGGGTGTGTTCCTTGGACACGTCCGTATTCATCCTAGGGTCTTTAACCAAAACTTTCCCCTCCCAATTTTGAACAGCATGCTGATCACTGGTTAACTACTTTGCTCCACCACAGAGGTAGCTGCATTACCTTTGTGTTTACAGTATTGAGTCTTTTAAAGGTAGCAGGTACAGATTAGGAATAACATTTGTTAATACTAGTATGGAAAGTATGTTAAAAATGATTAAATAAAAAAATAAAAAAGCAAGATCATAATTATATAATCTCTTATTTCAAGTTAAAGTTTTCACAAGAGTTACCAGTCTGTTTTTCCTGCTGGTAATGAATACATAAAAAAGATAATTTCCTAAGCATACCAATAATTCTCCGTGCAGGAAAAGGTCGTTTAGAGCTGTCCTTAAGCTTTGAAACCCTGAAGGTTCTTTCATTGCTGTCTCAAGGTGCATCCTGACAGCTCACAAAATAATCCACATTTCATAGAGACTTCACAAAGAATAATACATGAGGAAAACCGCTTTAGTGAATGGATATTAAGTTCTGATAACTTGCCTGGTTCCAAATGAAAGGAGCGGATAGATAACTTTTCAAGTTCTTTTACTTCTATATTTTTGTACTTCTAATATTTTTCCCCATTCAGCCTGTGATCATTGTAATAACATTTACAAAACCTTAATTCAGAGTCCGGTTCATCGATGAATTCACTGGGCACTAATTGGGTGTTTGGGGAAGAAGTTACTTGTGGCGATATTGCAGCCTCTCCTTCCATGCTCTGGTTGCTGTTTTCTGTCTGAGCTGCAGAGCCCCATCCTGTAAAATGAGCTGGAGCTGGAGCTGCTGGCCCCATTGGTCAGGGAAAGTCACCAGTGATGGGGCTTAGCAAATATTTGCCATCCAATCACATGGCCACCTTGTGATAAATCACTATCCCACCCTTTAATGAGGGTCCTGCTGGTGTGGAATGTTTCAGGAGGTGCCATGTTTTGGCTTATCCAGAAAAAAGGCTAGGCTCTTGGGAGGGAGAAGGGGCTCTCGAACCTGAAGATGATCTGAATTGGACCCTCCAGCTCCTGACGTGTTGTTGGGGTTTCAGAAGCTATTTCATCTTGAATGCATTTTTATTTCAAGTTCTTGTTAACTGAATGTTGAAAGGCTCTTATCTGTGACATCACAGCTCATTAGCATAAAGATCCTGCCTGGCTTTCTCCAGTGCAATGTCAGGGAGATGGGCTGCTCTCTGTTGCATTGTTGACATGGCTCTCTAATCTGGAGAGCAGTGGCATGATGCTTTTCTAAAAGCTGCCGGTCTTTGGGGTGGGGTGGGGGAGCGAAGGAAGCAAGATTCATACTTTATGGAAGGTAATGTATGATGCTAAGATTGTGCTTTTCAGTGGATTGACGTTTCTAACAAATATATTTTAATAACTGACTTTTGCATATCGTCTTTTGTTTGGAGTAGTTTTGTGGAGGCCTGACTGTTTTATCCTGGTTCTGTGGCGCTTTTAAGGACTTATCAGTTCAGAGGGTCTTTTTAGGTAATAATTAAATAGCCTTCAGGCCAGCAACAACATTTTTTTTCATTTTTCTCTTGGAAAGGCTTGCTATTGTCATTATAACAAATACAGATCTAATGATTTCAGGAGAGTTTCTTTTCTTGATAACTGCAACTCCTGTGAGGCTTTTAGGCCTGGATCAGTCAGGTTTTATGTAATAAAATAGAATGCTTCTGTAAAGATGAGAAATGCTTTGGAATGATCACATCACTTAATGATGGTTTTTTAATTAGATACCATCAGTTCACATATTACATCTCCAAGATGTCAGGGCAAAGGGATGTTTTGAGCTAATGTTACCCTACTAGTTTTCAGAGATATGTGTGAGGCAGCATTGTTAACTGAAGAAAATAAGGCTATCAGTTCCACTTAGATAACCTTTGGTAATAAACGGAGTCCATGCAAGTTGTGACCTTAGGGCTTGAACTTTCTAATCACATGACCAGCTTGTAAACTGACCTGTGAGGATGACTGTTGTATCCAAAGCTTAGAGAGAAATTGGCAATAAGGATCGTGAGGTTTCACCATCAGGCTGGTGACTGTTTTGTAATATATTTCTTCATGGCTGCTACAGAACTTCCCAGCAAACTTGGAGAAGCATGAAATGGATACATGGGAAGGTAAAGGAGTTGGTTCATAACTTTGGGAGCACGATCTCAGTATTAGGGAAATATTATGAAGGTTTATAGCAAACAGTAGCCTCAAGGGGAGGAGAGTTAGCAAGAGCAGCAACTGCTTTTTGTGTGCAGTTTGAAGACTGCCACTAAGGTTTGTTGCAGAGAGTTTTCATTATTTAAAAAAACCCACACTTTTAAAAAGTGTAGATTGAATGCTTTTATGTTTTACACACAAATCTTAAATGCTTAATTGAATTGCAGATTATTTAATTTTTTTTAATTGTATTCTATTTGTTCTGCGACTTAATTTGTTTATATTTTAAATTCCCTAATCCATTTGACCATCTGGAAATGCTTTATTTAGTATTGTTAATTATTGATAGTATCAGGGTTATGTGGACTCTTGATAACAGTTTTATCTCTCCTGGGACTAATACTAGTTCACAGATATTTATTTTACAGCTTTTTCTATGCTTAAAAACACTGGCAACGTTTCCACTGATTAGTCTCTTTAAATAGATTTAGTCTTACTTTAAAAAAAAAGTACTTTGTATTAGAATAGTGTATTTGTTTTTTAAAATCATTGTGGCTGAAGTTCCTCTGGGTTTTTAATCTTTTCACCTTTTAATTCTTTATTACTCTTGCAAATTACACCTTTAGGTAATAGACTGCATCCATGAGAAATGTTTCCCATGGGCCTTTGCCAGTTTTTTGTTTCACTGTTTCAGAATTTCTAAACCTAAAGAAACGTAGTCTGTCAAATTTTAATCCAAAACATAACCTTCTACTGAATTTCCACTGAGTGCTCATGAAAAAAGTTTAAAGACTTTATCAGGACAGAGAAATTGTTTAGTTAGTAAATCTGATGAAAGGAGTAAACAATGTAAAACATCTACTCATGGAAAATCTTACTTGGAATCTTGTGGGTATTATAACATCTGCAAAATACAGCTTCACCCTCAAAAGGTGAAGCACATGTCTGTGTCATTTTGGCAAATTTCACAAGAATTCTAGGGGCTAGCATTTGTTCAAAGCTCTTTGTAAAACATTTGGCTCTGATCAGTGTTCTAATTTTATTTATATAAAATTAAATGTTAAACATGTCTTTTAACTTAAGATAAATGTGCTATGAGTCACTGAAGATCCTGTAGAATTCTTATGGATTACGTTTTGGAGCAGTGTACTCTTTCCTGCTCTGAATGTTCTTTTTGCTTTGCAGGTGAATTGTGTACAGTTTGTTTAGAACTTGCACTGTTTGCCAATAATGTTTGGTGCATATATTTACTTGACATATATGAGTGGTCTGATCAAATGAAACTGCAGGATAAATGGTTTCCTCACTTGTGTGTGCAACAGCTGTGTGAGAGGGTAAGGCAGCTAATGAGAGCCAGCACTCAAGAAATTGCATTTTATAAATTACTTTTTGATCTGCTGATGGTGAACAATCCTTGAGCTTTGCAAGAGAAAGTTGTTGTTTTTTTATATCAAATACACTATCTGGACTTTATAAAAGAAAGAAAAAAAAGAACCCAGCAGAGATTCCTTTGTCCTCTTTATTTTTTTATACCAAATGATCAGAGGATATAATTTTTCCTCTGAAGAAACAAAAGCAATATGATATGGCATCATTTTTGGGTTGAGTGGTAACTGGAGAAAATTAACAAAACTATTATGTATTTACAGTAGCAAAGAAATGGTATTTTCCTTTTATGTTTTTCTTTAAATATTCTAACCAATACCTCTGAAATTAAGACTAAATTCTGTATTTTTGTAAGACTAACACTTTTTACAGTAAAGAGTATTAGATTGTAAGCGGTCTTTTTTAAGACTTTAGGGGCCCTGTCCATTTAAATTAACCTCTATCACAGCTGGGCATACAAATGTTTTTGTTTTAGTTCACAGAGGGTTAATTCTATTCAGGCTTTCACTATGGCAGGCCTGATCCATAGAGCAACACAATCTGGTCTTTCAGCCCTGTCAGTCGCTAGGCAGGAAGTCTTATTTCTTAAGCTATCCTTCAGAATGGGGGGTTGGGAATCTCCAGCATCTGTAAAGATCAATAACAGGGTATGAGAGACAGACCTTGGTCCATTGTGCACCCTTTTAAGATAGATGCATTCTTCACATACTGAGCCTTTCTCGGGAAGAGCAAAAAAAAATTATTTAAGAAAAAAGGCATGTGTTCATTGATTTTCAATTTAAATAAAGCCCCCTTAAGCAAATTTATTTATTTTGGGGTTTAATTAAAGCTTTGTAATCTTATTTGAACAATGCGACAATTCAGAGTTATGGGAAGGGAATTATTCTAATCCTTGAAATTTTGAGTTTACCAAGAATTCCTTTTTCTTGATACTAATGTTTGACTATAGAATGTAATTGCTTTGAGCCCAAATAAGGTATTTGTGAAGACAAGCAAAAGAAGAAGAAAAAAAAAATCTTTCCTTGATGCCTTCTTGTTGGTGTTTGAGACATCGCTGATGGTGTGAAGGGAGCAAGATTTTGTTAAGATTTAAGTAACACATGTGTGAGATCTCTCCCCCAAACAGCTGTTATTGGCTCTTGAAATTTAAACATGGCTAAACAAATACTTGAGGGTGCGCTATTTTGAGATTAGTTTAAACCAGAAGTAGAGAAAATAATATGTAGTTAAAAATGTGCTAAATCTATTTATAAATTGTGATTTTTAAGGTGCGTCATGTCTGTAATCTTTATAGATACAAGCCTCCATAATTAGAAAATTGCATTCACAGTAAATTGTACTGTATAAACAAGATGTCTTGAAACTGGTTACTTTGTATATTTTCCCTCTTTCATTCCAGTAAAATGCTTCATTCTATCACTTTCTGGTTTGGGTATTTAGGGAGGAGGGTCAATTCTTTCCCTTGCTCTCAGAGATCAGGTTTTTGTGCCTGCCATACTGTGAAGCACTAATTGTCACTGATAATATAAGGTAATTGTGTAGACTCTAGTTTTTATTTCCAAGCTAAATCCTTTGTAGTGAGTTGAGAGAGGTTGTTGTAACCAAACTACAAAAACAAAAGTAAATGACTAAAAGAATACTCGTTAGATAAAAATAAAAAATTAGATGATACTTTTGAACAGCAAATAAGAAAACTCTGCTTGGACAATAATAGCATCCAGATTTTGCTCCTGGAATGCTATGGTACTGACATGCTGGGAAAACAAAAACAAGCCATACGTATTCTTTGTAGCCCATATGCAACTTTTATTCATGTTGTGAATAATACAGGTCACAGGTAATAATAAAACAAGATACGCTTGCTTATAGATGAACATGTGACTTACTATAAAAATCACATTTTGTATCTTTATAATCTTGTTCACATTTATGATTTCCTTATATACACATACATCTGAGTTACTCTTTATGCTTATGTACATGTATCAGCATTTTCTTTTGGCCATTCTTAGATCAACTTCATTTAAAAATCATCCACAGTGCTGTCTGATCTTACTAGGAAAAACAACTATTAAGAAATGTGATAAGAATATCTTAAAAGATACTGATTCTATTGGTTTTACAGTTTGCATTATAAAAAGCTAAGCAAGTTGAGGTTCCTTCTGCTTTCTCACACTGTCTTATGACACCTATGTAAAACATTATAATATTCTCGTAGAATTTTTATTGTATTAAAATTTGGTATGAAACCTACCATGACCTTTGAAAACAATGGGTCCTTTAATGTGGTTTAGGGGGAGGGTTTAGTGAGGGAGTAGCCATAAAAATCTTCAGGGTTCAAGATGAGGTTGAGATTTTTGTGAGTGCTTTTGTTGTAGCAGCAACTGTTTGACTTAGCGCTGCTACAATAGCCTGGGAGAACAAAGCTAGAGCATCCCCTATGAGTTCTTTAAGCATAAGACACTTCAAGAAAATTGAACAGAAAAATGCTTCTTAATTTCTCACCTCCCCCCAGATAAAAATGTAAAACTACAATTGACACTGGTTTTTTAATCAACACTGTATCTCACACCGCTCTAGAAAACTGAAAGACTCTTAATGGGTGTAAGCAGTAACAAAATCAAGTCAAGAGCCTTGTATTTCCTCTAAAAGTTATGATAAACTTTTATGTGATCTGAAATTCTGTTCAGATTTCAAGGTTGAGGGACAGTATGAAGCAGTCCCAATGTTTTACACAATTGAAAAGCATGGGTAAATTGAAAGGTCATT